CATGCCACCTCGCCTTAAGCAGTCTCGCTTTGGCCTCGCCTTGGCCTCGCTTTGGCCTCGCCTTAGGTTCGTTCGCCTTAGGCTTTGTTTAATCCCTGCCTCGCTCGGACGCAAACGAGCCAGACCAGGTCAGGCAGGGTTTAGTCAGCGTCGTCTGTCCTGGCCGGGCCGAATCTTCTCCAGAGGTCATGACATGCGACCTCTTCGCGCCAGACAGCCCTCGGCTCGACCGCATGTCCCCACCCAACACCACCTTCCCACATTTTCAGGCTCGTTGTCTCGCGTGTTTGCGTGTAACTCCCATCCTCTCCCTTTTCGCTGTCTCGCCGTTGCCATTTGCGTCGCCGTCGCCGTCGCCTTCGCCATTCTCGCCGTCGCCATCCTCGCCGTCACCGCATTCTGTTCCTTCGTGCTGGCGCAATCATCGCCGTCCTCGCCTTTCGCGCCTTTTTCACCTTTCTCTCCGTTCTCGCCATCTCCGCCGCCATCCTCGCCCTACTCGCCGACGTTGCCATTCTCGTCATCACCTTCGCCGTAATCGCCGCCGGCGTCGTCGCAGTCGAAGAGACTGAAGACCACAGCGCATCGATTCGAGGTGGACTGAGGTGGGTATGTCCGGAGCTTTGACGACGAGTAGACCAATCAATCAAACGAAGAGGCAGCCTAGTCCAGAACTGACCAAACAGAAAACAGAAACCGGCTACATGACTTAGCTCCGCCCCATTGTTGTCAAGCCTTTCCTGCTAGTGTGTATGTGCGCTTTGGCTGGACGATGACGGACTGGCCGGTCTGACGTCATGTCGCTTCTGCCCGCCACCTTCTCTCTCCTCAAGCAGTCGTCCTGCTTCAAGTCACCCGCAAGACGGTTGCCTCAACAAGGCAAGTTTTCGCAACTCGAAACACATACACGCAACCAGTGCAATTCCACACTCAGGCCCGGGGGGATAGACATAGAGCGTTGGGCAGTACTGAGGATGAACAGACAAACAGATAAACTGACAGACGAACGGAGAACCGGACGAACGATGGAGCAAGCAGTGGGCAAGATTGTGAGTAGGCCAGTGTGGACGTCTGAGGACGGAATGGCCTTCAGATGAAACCTTTTATTTAACCGCACAATCGGCAAAGCTGTCATCTCAAGTCTGTGCTAAAACGCTTGGCATGGAGATCCGTGTCGGACCGGGTGAAGGACCGTTCCTGCGGCCAATCTGACCAAGAATACGCCAGGCATGAGGAGGGCTAGAATAAATAACTTAAATAAATGGCATGTATTATGCGTCATTATATATATATATATATACAATGTATATATTTTTTAATTTATACATAATATATACAAAAATATGTTTAAGAATATATATATATATTTTTATATAAGCACACATACATGAATATATATATATATATATATATATAGCATATATCATAATATAGTGTAATATAAATATGCAAATATATAATAACTAAATATGAAAATGACTACAAATATGTGTATTGATAGAATAAAATGTATGTTTTTGGTCATAATTGGAGGAGGCAAGGGCAACATCGGTTTAGCAAAGTCTTCGTTTTTGGTCAACAAGAAATATTTTCGTAAGAGGCGAAAAAATGCCCCTCCCTTAATGAGGGATCTAGTGTGGGCCGAAGGACGGATTCGGACTTGTCCAGTCGAGGCTGTAGGCGCCCGAGCACAGAAAGCCAAAACTTGACAAAGCTCGCCACTAGCCCAATCAATGGAAGGGTTGTTATTCTGTTGGTTGAGACATGATTTTCAATTTCGAAGGAAAAGTTGGTAGGAAGGAATTCGTGAAGCGGCCTCCCCGGAGCCCGAATGAGGATTGCTGTGGCGTGAAGACTGTTGGATTGTGCCGAGAAATCTGCAGCTCTGCACCCGGCGACTCCTTTGAAGCTGTACTGAACTTTCGTTTGTAACGCTCTGACAGACATCATCAGTATGTATAATTAACGAAATAGCGCAAGAAATATACTAAACCAAGAGAAAAGGAGCTCTGATGATGTCTTTCAGGACGGTGCAGAGGCAAGCCTAGCACTGTTTCACCGGGATAGCAGGACGATGAGCCAAATACTTATTAACACAATAAAACAGTCTTCACTCCGTGGCAATCCTCCTTCGGTTTCCGGTGGAATCATTGCACAAATTTCTACCAACCCACTTTTTCTTCGCGATGGAAAGTCATGGCGCAATATATTATTAAGAAATTCTTCTAAACTCTGTTGTTATTTACATATTCTGCCCCTTGCCTTCACGACAAACAGGAATGCACCCCATGCATCAAACAGCCCGGAAAGTCTCGTGTCGACTTTTGTTAAGAAAAGTTGGGTTCCGAGGAAACTCTTGTTTCATAATTGTTGAGCTTACTTCCATTTCGAGTGAAAGCGTTTAGTGAAGAGATTCGAAGGACGATTCCAACAGAAGACGACGACGGATTCCTCTTGATCAGCGGTCGATTGGCTTCACTGAAACATTCATGGTGACGCTGTTTCCGAGGTAATCTCTTTCGATTTCGGCCAAAATGTGCTAAGCTTTCGTGCGTCATATGACGAACATCGTCAGAGCAGGGACGGTATCATCGTCACACATTAAATTCAAGCTATCGAGTCAAGAAAACTCATCGGCAAATCCCTAAAAAGCGGTATATATACTCTTCATCTGGCCTCTTTGATCAGGTATAAATCGATTTGATTAGTTACAGTCATATGTCAACCTCGAAGCCTGTGAGTGTGTCTGTTTGTATTCACTTATGCACGAAACCAACAGTGATGGCTCAAAGTAATTAGGACAGCAAAAGTGACGTCTGTTCTCGGCCATCAAGGTCTGATGACTACGATCTCCCATTTTTTACATAGATGCTGCAGTTCTTGATGCGTTGCCCAGGTTCAGTTGCAAAAAGCAGTGAAGTGTAAATAATTTCTGTAGATGCTTTTGACTCGGTTTTGGTTGCTTTTTTGTACTCGACCAATAGTAAATCTGTCCGCTCATTTCCAAAAATGCTGTACTCATCCAGTCTGGACAACAACTTCAACCTTGTCTCATCGCTAAATCAGTACCAGATTGTGTTGTTGCCAGTGATGAGACAAACATGATTTCATTAGCTTCCCCTCCTCTGCCACTCAGCTACACGACAAACATGAAGTATACAGCGACGCAAGTATCTTTCGATTCATATCAGTTTGCAGGCCAGTTTTCAACTCCAAACTCACCAAATAACTCACTAATTTACAAGTAACAGTTGCGTTTTGCAATCATCACTAGTCTGATTGTTTTCAATGGATTCTGGATGTTGCTACATTATTGTATTCCTCTCACAGTGTCTAAGCCCAATGTTGCTATGCGTGTTTGCAGCTTGACACACACGTTAAGGATCCGAATCCCTTTGGGACCACTGACGAGGTAGAAAGCCTAGTCCAGCCTGAATATAAACTGCCTTATGGGATCAAGAAAGGTGTAAAGTTCACTGCAAAAAAATAAGACTTCTCTCGTATTTGTCATGTAGCAATACGAAAACTGAGCAGATTCTGTAAAATGGGTTGACTGGTCTCACTTCCTTCTAAGAGACTACAAAAAGCCAAACATAATAAGAGAAAGTAGTTTTCGACGAAACTCTTAATGTGTTTAGATGTGCTCTGACCGCATTTTTGCAACTTTGTCGTGTTGTCAGGTGGACTTAGTTGGACTCACCCTGTCCTTTTCTGTAGTAGTTATCATATTTCCAAGCGTCGGATCGTGGACTTGGTACATTCTCAGACGTTTTGGTCTTCGTATCTTGATGTGTTTGTTGATTGATTGTTTAGCTCACTTTCATTTTGTGTTAATGGGTATGATGAAGACGTTCGTTTGTCGATTTCGCCATAAGATCAGGACAGATTATTGTTTGGTTCAAGTCGGAGCGGCCGTCGAGACACTCTTCGTTGGTTTCCCTAAAAAGATTCTAGGCTTTTGATTGTTCTGCCATTTGGCAGACGTTCTCGATGCGGGAACGCCTTCTTTCAGCCAGTTGAAGCTTGCAACTATGAAAGTTTGGCACATTTTCACCTCAACTTAAAGAGACTGCCTCGAGGACTGAACCGAAACAATTTCTAAAAGTTTAATGGAAAATGAATTATATGAGCCCGAAGACGTCGTCTGGTGAGATTGGCTCAAAAATATCTTCAATAAAAATAAAAATGACTGCAACACTGGTAAACTACTGCAACTAGCAAGACTTACGCACAATTTCATCACCAATTTCGCAACTTGTCCTTAATGGCTTTCTGTCTCTCCCAATAGGAAAAAGAATCCCTGTTATAGGTTTTCGTGAACTTGCTCATTCATAATAAAAAGTAGGCCAGTCCTCAATTTGGGTTCAAATTTAAAGAAGTCTTAATAAAGTATGAGTTATCGTTCTGAAGAGTGCTCATATAATTTAGATTGGGCTCATAGGATTTCTTCGACAGATCACCTTTTTATACGAAGTAAAAGGCTTAAACAAATAAAAGAGTTAAGGATCTCCGAGAGCATGACCCCCCGAATAATCATAGGTTCAATGTGAAGAAAAGTAGGGTTTTGAGCAATTTCTTATTAGGTTTGTGTTAGGAGATATTTACATCCCCTTTGAAGGAAGTTGAAGTGGTAAAAATTGAAGCAGATGCAATTACTGAATCGTGCAAAGCAGTCTTTCGAGGACTACTTACACTCCGTACAAAAGGGTAAACTTCTGGAGCAGATGAAAGTAAACAAGTTAGGAAATGAGGTAGTAAAGAGAGTGATTCTGGGATATGGGATGGCTGGATGTACCAGAACCAAAACAATTAAACAAAAAGTGGATCAAGGAATGAATTTCACTTTCTTTTTTGACTAGTTATAGTTTTAGTACTAAGCCTAGCAGGTCTGACCAATGCTGCCGACGAAACGTCTTGAAATGTACCGAGTCAACTGTCCGAGGTAGGAAATAGTGATGACTATTGGGGCAAAGGACTTCGAGCAGG